TTGACTATCTGCCTTTAGCATGCAGGTTTGAGGGGCAACAGATAAGAGAGGCTATAATGTTTATTAAATAATCAAGATACTACTAACAAACTGATTAATAATCTAATTAATAAACACATCACTATTAATATACAGTTCTATCACTCTTCCCACCACTACTAATTACACACTGTTACTATCAAATTGCAGGTTTAGTTCTCTTAATTCTTTATTGCACACAGCTGTTGTTACAGTTCTGTTACCCTTTACAAACCTCTCGCACTGCTCACTACTAATCTGCAGTTCTGTCACCATTTTCTCTGTGCTTCCATACCCCGTCTTTAGGACATAAACCTAGGGAAGCGTCTGGTGGGTTTCCCTCCAGCATACCAACGGGCTTGGGTCCTCAGGTCAGCTTCTCTGCTGTCCGTAGGCACCCACACTCCTGCTGTCTGCAGATCCTGCCCTCTTTTGTTTTCTGATTTTTATACCTTATTCTCTTTTTTTGTTTCTTAACTCTTTTCTACCACCCTTTTCTCCTTTCTCCACTCGGTCTCCACCCAAATAAGCAACCTGCCCGTAATTACTTTTTCTCCATTGGTCCCAACGTTGCTGTACCACAATTAGGTATTTCTGATACTGAAGCAATCTCGGCCTTTTATATGGGACTAGTGATACGGTTACCTAGCTGCAAGTGGCCTTGCAAGGTTTCTCTCCCCCGGAGATCCTGAAACTCCCTTCAGTTATCTGTTTCATACTGGATTTGTATAGTTTACTTTAAACAATTTCTAAGACATTTGATTCTGTTTTAGCCTTGGTTCCTCTACTTTGTTCCAGTTACTCAAGTACTTTCTTATCTTATGTGCAAACACTCCACGTACCAGAGTAGGGCTTATCCTTTTCCATGCTTTTTCTCACTCTATTGTAATGCTCATGCAGCATCCTGCTCTCCCTTACCTGCTTAATTACAAATCATTGGTATTGGCGTGTTCTTTGGACATTCTCCTGGTTTTCAGCAGAGATTCTGTCTTGTTGCAGGGCCTGGTATAGCAGGAAGACCGCTTGTTTGGGAACTCTTGGAAGTTCTATGTTGTGTGCCTTTTCTATCTGCTGGTCTCATCTGCACCATGGAGGCAATACCTTGGCTTGCATGTGTGCATTTTGAGGGGGGGCAGGGAGGGAGTGAGAGGTGAGGGTAACTTCCTAAATAAAAATAAAATGGAGATAAAGAAGTTGGACATAGAGAAGCAGTAGCTTTTTCATGTTTTTGTGAGAGATGCTGGCTTCATCTAGTTATAAAGGGGATGCAACGCTGCTAAAGTTGCTTCGGTGGTTGCTGCGTAGTCCTTTGGATGACCATTGTCCTTTAACTGTCTGACTACTAATATGGGGACTGAAGCAGCATTCCCATTCACCCCGTCTAGGTGTGGCAGTAAGGAGTGGGCTCGCAAGGGCTAACTTTAGCTGCAGGGTTTAATCACGTAAGGGTCCTCCTGTCATCAGTGCATGGGTTGTCTCTTGCAGAAACAGTTGTAAGCCTCTCTGTTAAGTTTGTCTTTGCTGTCTTCTAAAGGCGCTTTCCTGCCCTCCTTTGACTGTGGAGGGGGATTAGAGTCAATAGGTTAAAATTAAACTCTGAGATCTTCTTCAGTGAGGTTTGTATTGTGTGCCCATTGTTAGTAGGATTCTCTCTTCTAACACTATGTTACAAAATTATTAGTAATCTGAATGTATTGATCTTCTCTTTATCTCCGTCTTACCTGTGGGTCAAAGACGTTAATGACAGCTTGAGTCAGCTGGATTGCTGTGCTCCAGGTTTTAGGAGTAATGAACTCTCTCTTTTGCAGATACCTTCTTAAATCTTCCTTTCTTATGGAAGACTTTCAGCTGTTAAGAGCTGTGCACTTTTCTCTAACAGGCATCCAAGAAGAAGGTTTATATGCTATATAACCTGCAGCCTGACCGGTCGGTGACTGGTGGGGCTTGGTACAGTGACCAAGACTTTGAGTCTGAATTTGTGGAGGTGTTAAATCAACAGTGTTTTAAATTTCTACAGAGCAAGGTGAGTGCTACTACGAAAGTTACCTTCCATTTGTTTTGTGTTTTATATTTTCTTTGTAAAACTAGCAACAGGCAAGGCTTAAGTTTTCCATAGTGTTTTCCGTAAGTGTTGGCCATTGTTATAACTGGATTGGCAAATCTGTACTGGATTGTATTTGTCACAGCAAGCGTGATGGTGTTGCATTTTAATAATGCATATTTTCACACCCTCTACAGGCAGTGAAGCCTTCCATCTCCAAAGTCCAATGACAAGCTAGGCAGCAAAGAACACAGGACCAAAAAAACAAGCAAAAGTGACTGTTTTCCCTGCAGAGCTCCTAATTTCTGAGAGGGTGGAAGGCACTACTCAGCTCTGCCTAGAAGACAATTTTCTCTAGTATAACTGCAGGAGAAGCCTGCTCTCCGTTAAATAAGTCCTATGCAGATTGCAGCATTTCTCTATTCCATTAAAATATATTTTAACTGGCACTAGGTACAGCAGAAACTTCTTTTGTGTCAAAAAAATGCCAGATGCTGATATTCCTTCATAATAATCTAAATCACTGTGTAACTTTTGTGTCATATTTAGTGTAAAATTACGTTTGGTTGTGCATTGCATTATCTCACGTACATCAGTCTTAAGGACATAGCTTTAAATGCTAAATAAAAAACGTGCCAGAAATGGTTTGGAAATCAACTTTTATACTCTAGTCTGCCTGAAACTGCACCACGAAGGAGGCTCTTCACAGTGAGTACTGACTATAACTCATCTTTTGCTTTTTCTCAGGCAGAAGCAGCTCGAGAGAGCAAACAGAACCCCATGATACAGAGGAACAGCTCATTTGCCTCATCCCATGAGGTGTGGAAATACATCTGTGAACTGGGTATCAGTAAGGTCAGAAGAGATTCATCTTACTACTCTCAAAATTCTCAGTGCATGACTAGCTTCAGGAGTTGGGTCCTGTAAATTTGGTGAGGGTCCAATAAATGCTACAGTCACTGTATTGGAAGTGGGCTTTGCTGCTTTATTGCTTTTTGAGGAGGGTCATTGGTGCTGCATGGGATTCCAGGGTAGTTTATACATACGGGTTTTCAAAGACGTATAAAAGAGTTAGCATTCCCACCTTGTTGATGGGAATTGGGGTAAGTTTTCCTTTAACAATCTCAACTGGTTTATATTTTATAATTTCTCTCAAGTTTGCCTATGCACTTCAAGTGGTTTTAGGGGAGGGGAAAAAAAAAAAAGGAGGAAAAAACCCCTGCAATTATTGGTCACCATCAACAGGCATCTCTTCAGTAGTCTGTCTTCTTTCACAATCGTTTTCCTGTAAAACTGGAAATGTATCATGCTAGGATGATGTAGACACTTGAGGTGTATAGGGAAGTTCTTCTTGACAAGCCAAGGCTAGCGTAATCCAAAAGTGTTTGAGAGGTAGGAGGTATTGGTATTGGCTTTTCTTTCTGTTTCTGCACAACCCCATAAGAGGAAAAAACCCTGCAATTATTGGTCACCATCAACAGGCATCTCTTCAGTAGTCTGTCTTCTTTCACAATCGTTTTCCTGTAAAACTGGAAATGTATCATGCTAGGATGATGTAGACACTTGAGGTGTATAGGGAAGTTCTTCTTGACAAGCCAAGGCTAGCGTAATCCAAAAGTGTTTGAGAGGTAGGAGGTATTGGTATTGGCTTTTCTTTCTGTTTCTGCACAACCCCATAAAGTGCCCAGCGAGAGCAGTGCCTTTATCTGGGCGAGGTTAGAACCCTAAGGACTTGTTACTCATAGTGTTTGCTCGTTTCCTCCTTGCTGGACTTGTTGGCATGCGTCTTTCCTAATATTTATTTTACAAATGATTTCTTAGGTAGAGTTGTCAATGGAAGACATTGAAACCATTTTAAATACGCTGATATATGATGGAAAAGTGGAGATGACTATTATTGCTGCAAAGGAAGGGACGGTAGGCAGTGTGGATGGACAGATGAAGTTGTACAGAGCCGTTAGTCCTCTCATACAACCCACTGGATTAGTCAGGACGCCCTGTGGACTCTGCCCTGTAAGTAACTAATTCTGTATACGAATAGGTGGGTGCATGCAAATCTTGAATACAGTCCTGCAAATGGCCAGCCAGCATGCTGCCGCGTTATGCCCGTGAGTGATCCTCGTGACTTTCTAAGCCAACTGCGCTTATGCGTGTTATCCGTGATGCCTTAGCTATGGTGTAAGAGGCAGGTTCTTTAGTTTAGACCAGGATGTTTCCCACTTATACCCTGTCTCTTTACTGGACTGTATGTGAAAGGGTGCTGTCAAGTGTAGCCTGTTCCAAATTATATTATTATATTTTCTGATCCCAAGTTTGCCTACTTATGTTTTTTAACAAGCTAACTTATTTCTGTCTACCTTTTGGTCTCTCCTGCTTGGATTGTAAACTGATATGTAGGTAAAACTTGCCAGTGTGTCCACTTGCATCATTTACTACAGTGGGGTCTGTTTTGCTCCTGTTCCTCAGAGCTGGCATAGGACTTCCTAGATTTTGGCCTCTGTTAGACTACTGCTTTTCTACTGGGGAAGGAGCAGAAAACATGCGAGCATGTTACTTCCAGTTAGATCGTGTTGCTGTATATAATTACTGACACAGGGCTTTCTTTTGCAGGTTTTTGATGATTGCCATGAAGGTGGTGAGATTTCGCCATCAAACTGTATTTATATGACAGAGTGGCTGGAGTTTTAAAGTGAAGGAAAACTGTAAACTGGATTCATGCTTCACAGCCAAGGTGACAAAGCAGCTTGCTTTTTTTTTAAAAGTGGACTTCTAAATTTGCGAGCAACTTCAGGACATGGAGTGACTTTGTTTTTAATGAAACATGAAGCAGCAACATATCAGTTGCGTGAGCAGTTCTGTGAGTGGACTGGAAATCGAGTCAGCATTGAAGATCAAGGCTGAAGTGGAAATGTAGATCCATTCTTGTACCAAAAATTGGTTGTGTGACTTGAAAACTGCCATGGAACAGCTGGGTGGTGATGCATCGCTTCCAAGGATTGTGTCAAGTACTCCACAGATGCTTATTCTGAGTGAGAGAAAATAAGTCATTAGCTGATCAGAAAAACTTGCTAATGAGTGTTGCCAAGAATGAGATCCCAAACTTTGCTTTTCAGACTAATGCTATTGGTGGGTGCTTAAGTGCTAAAGCTGACGCTTTTCTCCCACAATAGCTACCATCTAATTGAAGACTAAGAATCTGATGTGGGAAAGATCCTAAATAGGTCAAACGGAACTCACTGATTCTTTATTATCTTTCTTACCTGCTAATTTATCATTAAAACCCTGATTTTTCTCATGTACTTCTGTGCTTCATTTCGTCCATTGCTGCCATTGCCTGGTGATGCATCTGTTGTATTTATTCCTTCATCTGACAGCTACAAGATCATCATCAAATGTGTTGGTGTGTTCTGGCTGCTGCATCATCTACATGGATAGGTCAGCTGAAATTTTGAGTAGAAGTATTCTGAGAAGATGTGTTTTCCAGAATAGAAAGAGTTCCTCTGGCCTGATGGTACAGGGAAGATTTTTATAGATTATCTGAATACCCTCAGGGATGAAAAAGACACCAATGACAGTTGTTTGGACATAAATATGGCCTCTGGCCTTGGTTTGTGATCTGAGAAAGGCATGATACTGGCATATCATCAAAAACCACAGTCTTCTCTTCTTGTGATGTGGAGCCAATTTGTGTTTCTCTTAAGTGTGACCTCTCTGGCTCCTTCTCTGTGTGACTCTGGACTGATGAATTGGCAATAGCATATAGACTGTGGCGTTGTCGTCAGCCTCATGGCCAGGGTATGCTGGGCCACGGACCTCTTGAGAGAGCTGTGTCTAGTTTCCTCTGGCTATCGATGTCCATCTGGCAGTATTAGGGGGTGATACTATCTTTGGAAAATGTAGGTTCAAATCCCACTTGGGAAGTAGATTTTTCGTACCAACTATGTTATGCTAATTAGTTACTCAACCTCTTCCTTAACCTATAATCAAGCAACCTCTAGGAAAAAAACGTCAGCTCCTTTTTCATCAGTGAGAATATTGTGCATATGTGGTAGAGCCAGCTCTCCACCATCCAGCATAACAGAGGGCTGGAATGAAGTCCTTAGCAGGCAGGGTAGTGTAGACACATGAACCAGTACAACTTGCTACCTGTGGCTTAACATTGCTGTGTCCAGGCTGGATCTCTACACAGCTACTCAGTATCTTCACGATAGCCTCCCAGCACTGGGAAACAATTAGCGGGTCAAGCACAACACTGGACCTGTTGCATCTAGCTGTTTTCAAAATTCCCTGTCTGAAAATAAGCCCTCCTGGACACTGGTCGGGAGGCCAGTGGTCAAGCACCTCTACAACTGAGTTATCAGCGTGCCAGGTAATCTGACCATGAGTAGTAAACAGTGGGCTAACATAGAGAGATTTTGGAAGACAGTTTATCTAATAAGGGTAGGAGACTTTACATCAGCTATTTCAATATTGTCCAGAAGTTTGCACCTTCTAAAAGCAGTCTGGATCCCATAGAAGTGTTCAAATCTTGCTCAGTTCCTGTTTTCCTACTTATAGCGTGGGCTGTGGACAGAAGGCTAATGGTGGTAAGTGCTGTACAAAGAATAATAATAATAAAAAAAAAAATGGTTCCTGTCCCATACAGGGACGGTATAGATACAGAGGCAAAGGCTCCTTGTTTGCGAGTAGGCATGCTGTCTCCGACTGGAGCAAGCAACTAGTACTGATAAGCTGGCGCGTCCATGGAAGGAGTTTGATTGTATTAGCTAGTGCGAGCACCCGCAGCCGGCCTGCTCTTTTGTTGCAGTGTTTGAGGTGGGGTTTTGACAGGGATGCATATCTCTACAGAGGCAGAAGAGCTCTTACAAAAGAGATGTGGGGGTGAAGTGATCAGATGTTTGTTCTTTCTCTGCCCCCTTTTACCACTCAGCACACTGAAGCCTGAGGAAAATGCTGCTCACTTCACTGGAGGGAGCCTTAACCTCAACTTCAGACATCCGTTATGTGGCCAAAGGTAGTTTCATTCAGGTGTGGGCTGGGGTTGCCTTTGTCTTCCTGTGTTCAAAGAGGACCTAACACAATGGGGGTCCTGAATCCTGCTGCTGCAGAGATAACGCATTGTTTGTGCTCTACTGCAGCTAGAAGATAGCTTTCAGGGAAACAACATGTCTTTATCATGCAGGTATGTCACTTTATGCAGTATGACCTTATTCACTGGAAATAAGAAAAAGGAGAGAGAGCTTGTCATCAGTGAACAACTTAAGGAAGTAGAGGGCTGGTTTATTAAGCTCTCTAAATTCTGGCTCATTTGTGTTGGGTTTATCTGGTTTAGATGACCTTTATGGTCTCTGAAGCTTCTTTGTGTTGCCACTGTAACAAGACTTCTCAAATTTGGAAAAAAACCATGCCTATAGAGAAAAGTAAAGCAATTTCACTTTCCTATCTGTAAAATAGGAATCTCTCTGATCTATTTTTAAATGAATTAGAGGAATGATCTTTCTGTCACTCTGGTTCTTCATGAACCTGGCTAATCTATCAGCCTGTAATTCTTTTTAAAAAAGGGAGTAAATGCAGAAAGATAACATTAATAGTCTAGTCTTTTTTTCCTCCCTGAGTTCCTTCAGTCGTCTATTCTACCTAGCAAAGCTGTCTCCTTTACAAACTGGTATGAAATGTAACTTTTTGAGGATGCTGTAATACTAGCTCCAGTACTGAATATGAAAACACGTATGTGTAGAAAGCTGAGAGCTAAAGTTAACCCTCAAAACATGGATGACCACTTGGGAGCATGAGCTGCTCATTTCTTTATGCAAGCCTCATACAAGAGGTCACAGTTCAGCTGCTGCAGGACCACGAGGGACCTCCTGGGTCGGAGAGCTCAGCCCAGTTACCGTGAGCTCTGGGGTGTGCAGACCCTGCTGTGAACATACCAGGCAGTTCTGAGAGGTTTCCTCACTAGCGGTAACCGACTGTACAAAAGCAAGTTCGAGGGTGGTCACACCCAAATGCCATTTTCACATGGAATCAAGTGCAAGATTGCTTTTTATTTCCAAGAGAAACATTAACTACAGTACCAGGCTGTATTGTGACCTGAGGGAGAGTACAGCTAGCAGGTACTGTTTAACATGTCTAGCCTTTACAGTCCAAAGTTTAAAACATTAACATTAATAGCAAACTTCAAGCTTTGATAATGAAAACATTTACCCTCTGGTTGAGTGGCTGTCCAGTTTTTCCTGGTTTTGGTTTTTTTTTATTTGCTCCGATTATAACTCTCGCCCCTGTTGGAGGTGTTAAGCATGATGGTTGTTCATCTGGTGCTGTTCGAGTGCCATCTTCTGTCTTGTCCTGGTGTGGCTACCCTAGGGCTCAAGAAAGAAGAGAGACTGCTCTAAACCCTGTTCTGGTTTCCTGTTTTGCCTCCACGTGCAGAGCAGTTTTTGGGAACAAAAATAGACACCTCAAATAGGGCTGTCCTCCACCACACATAGACCACCTTCCCCTCTTGCTTCACGTGGCTGGGACTTTCTGTCATTTCATCTGTGAGAAATGGGTAGCCAGGCCCTCACCTGCGCTGAGCCCAGCTTAGCCTGCGGCCTGGAGGGGACAAAAAGGTACTGTGAGAAGCTCCACGGATGGTGTCCAAGTCTTTGTTGAAAATGTTCACTTCCTTCCTGAGAAAGTTAATTATTGCACTTTGCACACTCTTCAGGAGATCCTGGGGGGAGTGGGGAGGAGCGAAAGCAGAGCTCAAAGCATTCTCCTATTTCAGTTGTTAAACACAAAACAAGTCGGGGCTTATGTAGGTAGCCTCTGTTTTTCCCCCTCTCTCACTTTTTGAGCAAGCTTGCGATTCTTCCAGGAAAATGGAAGAATGGGAAAGCTTTTACTTTAGTTATTTGGTCTAGAAACACAAGGCTTTAGGATTTTGCTCCTCTTGCAAACTCACAATAGTTGCTCAGAGTTTTAATTAATCTAATGCTAGCAGGGTGGGTGCAGCATGGCCTTGAAGCCCTGGGTCTCAGTGAGGCACTGTGCTTTGCTTTTGAGACATGGTGATGTGAGGAAGATGTAAAATGAAGGATAAACTAGCAACTCCAGAAGAGCAGATTTGCTTTGCCTTTACTGATACTGCTTGGAGAGCAAGTCCTGGGTCTGAGGACGTTAACAATAGTAATTTGAATTTTGTACACTTTAGCATATAAGCACAGGTAGCATTCTTCTACTTTTTTATGCCCACTGAATTTGTGATCTTTCTGCTCGTGTTCAGATTTTACACGTGCAAATTTAACCCCTGCAGAGCACACAACTTGCCTTATGCTAGGAAGCTGGGGAAGTCAATATTAATGTTCAGCTCGTACAGCATCTCGTTTTGCTTTGTTTTGGACCTGAAAAATTGCTCTCCACTGTTAGATGCTTCAGTAGAAAATACACCTTTTCTGCCCTGGGAAGAAGGAATGAATGGCTTTTGGTTAAAGCAGTTTCCTCAAGCATTCCCTGGATAATGCCAATCTCCCTGTGGAATTCATTGTTCTGAAAATGGCCCCTATCTGTGCACTTATGCAGTTCTGCTCCATATCTGTCAGCCAATTCCTTCTGTCCTTTCCAGGGAAGGGAAGAAGGACTGCCAATGGATCCAAACTCTACAATAGCCCAATGACAGTTTCACTGGATGATCTTCCACTGCCAGGTCTGTTGAAGTATCTTGAAGGGCACAGAGAACAGAGTTGAAAACCTCGTCCTTCTCTCAATGGTTTAACTTCTTGCTATTTCTAGTGTAAACAAACTCTTAGCACAGACTGCGAACTGGGAGCAGTCACAGATTTTTACAGGTGCTTGAAGGCTGAGAAGAGATTGCCCCCTTTTTATTTTTATAGCCAAGCATTCCATCGTAGGCTGTGCACTAACATTTAAAACATTTATATTCCTAATCGCTTATTATATGTCAAAGTTGGCCACATCTCCTATGCATGGTTTTACCAAAACCTTCATATAGCTAAGAAAAGTGTAAGATGTGTCCCATATAGCTCGTAGAGAGACCCTGCAGTTGGTCACAACAAAGAGCCTCTACAGGCAATCTAAGCTCCACAGTCTGGCCAGCTTTTATGTTTCTTGTGCCAGTTAACTGGTAGGAGGCAACGCCACCTGTTATCAGTAGATGTCCATACCACTGACTCCCTTGGTTTTTTTCATCTGCCATATCAGAGGTGTAGGCAGACACCAACATGGTAACTGGGTGAGTTTTGACATACCTGAGAAAAATGGGAGCCTGGTGATCAAACCTACATGGAGGACCACACTGCTGCACAGCATTTTAATCATGTTGCTCCTGTTGTTTTAAGCTGTTAGCAAGCAACTTCAGAATGAACTTCAGGCTTTCTTCTAATCAATGACTTTAAAAAAAATACAAAATATTCAAAACATAGATTTCTGTTGCATTTAAAAGCGAGAAAACACAAAAAAACCAAAGCTTGACAGTGCATGGGTGTTGTGGTTTAACCTTAGCTGGCAACTGAGCACTACACAGCCACTCGCTCACTCCCCCTTCCACCCCGGTGGGATGGGGGAGAGAGTAAAAGTGAAACACGCGGGTTGAGATAAGAACAGTTTAATAATGGAAATAAAATAAAATAGTAATAATAATAACAACAATAATAATAAAAGAATATACAAAGCAAGTGATGCACAATGCAATTGCTCACCACCTGCCGACCGATGCCCAGCCAGACTTCGAGCAGTGGCCCCCCCCCGCCCCGGCCAGCTTTCCCCCAGTTTATGTACTGAGCATGATGTCACATGGTATGGAATGTCCCTCTGGCCAGTTTGGGTCAGCTGTCCTGGCTGTGCCCCTTCCCAGCTTCTTGTGCACCTCCAGCCTTCTCAGTCGGTAGAGCATGGGAAGCTGAAAAGTCCTTGACTAGTGTAAGCACTACTTAGCAACAACTAAAACATTGGTGTGTTATCAACTTTGTTCTCATACTAAATCCAAAACACAGCACTATACCAGCTGCTAAGAAGAAAATTAACTTTGGCACAAAGGACAATGGGTGAGCAAACTTGATCACAGGGCATTAATTTCCTTTAAGCAAAGATGGAGCGATGCTCACACAGAAGCCTGGGGAACGTTTATAGGCTGACCACCACATGACTTTAAGGCAAGCACCCAAACTATTAGAAGCGAGTCAAGATGTTTTACTACAATGCCTTTGCCCCTAGAAGTATGTGTGAAAGTTTGCGGCATTCAGTGATGGATTTATGTGCATACATTGAGATAGGAAAAATCCCACTTACACGGCATTACATGAAGCTGCAGTGGAGGATTCATGTCATCGGTCTCATCAGGAACAGGCTTTGCCTCTTTGGCTTCAGAAGAGACTGTGGGAAGCAGCAAGAGAAGGAAGCAATGAAAGAGGGAACATATTTGCATAGTTTCAAGGCACAGGCAAGTTTCTGGGGCAACTCAGACTTGGTCAAACCTCTACCACACATCCACAGGCAGCATGTTGCATTTCTGGATATTGTGGCCATCCCCAGATCTCTCCTCACCAGAGGGTCTGGGCACCAGGGTTTTCCCAGCGGGCTGGGGTACAGGTTTCCTCACGGATTGATGAACCACTGTGGCCTCGAGCCAGCCGTGAGGGTAAAGCTGGCTCCCACATCTTTTCTGGGAACAGCAAGAGAAGAAAATCCCTTTTACCCGGGTCAGGCATATTTGAAAGCAGACTTCAGCAACCAGGTATGTGAATGGCGGGAGATGTGCTGTTGAAGGGTGCGTGTCCTCGGGGCAAACCAAAGTTGCGTTGGTCCTTTTCAGTTTCCAGCCACGCTTGCTCCCGGCCCAGCCACCCCAGCCGGCTGGCCCTGCCTCATCGCAGGCCTGGGCGGCCTCACGGCTTGGCCTGCTGCGCTTCCCAGGGCCAATGTGCCCAGGGAAGGTGACCCCAGTCTGACGAGGGGGGCTGAGAACTGAGGCGAAGATGAGGCTGCTTGGGGCTCGCAGTTTTTTTTTTTTTTTAAAGTGTCTGTATTACTAGTAAATTGTTATTAATAGCTTTTTCCCAGGAGTTTCTACACTTACAAAGACAACCCTCCCTGCTGAACACGACAGCACCCTTCAAAGCTGCCGAGCACCTTGATACAAGAGCCGCTTCCCTCACCCTGTAGCTC